CCCCACACGTAATTCAGCAAGATTTTTCTAACCGTTCCTTTTATTCCACGGTGTCCACCTTCTCCTGCAAGTCCTTCGTGATTCGCCTTCATTATCTCAACCTTTTCATCATCGTTCAATAGTACTCTACGTGGTGGTTTTCCAGCACCTGACCTCCTAAATAATTGTCCATTTATTAGGCAGAACTTGCGGATTTTACTTTGAAGTCGGGGAAGGTCTTCTTTTAACACACCAAGTGGCCAGCGCATATTTTCCAAATAGTATTTGACTAACCCCAAATCCTTTATACTTCGATCAGTTTCATTATCAACTCGCAACAACAAGGAATCCACATATATTTCATCTAGCGGTCTGTTCCCAGGCGCCACAGGTTCAGGGTATCGAGACAATCCGTCAGCATGGCCATGCTTTTTACCGGGCTTATAGTGTACCTTAAAATCGAAGGTTTGTAGAGCTATTACCCAACGCATCAAACGTCCTTTCAACAAAGCCTTATTAAAAAGCCATTCCAGGGCTTGATGATCAACCCATACGTCGAACATCGTTCCAGCCACGTATCTCTCACACATGTTGCAGCCAAAAACTACACCCAAGCACTCTCTTTCGGTTACAGTATAATTCAACTCATGGGAGTTCAATTTTCGAGACTCAAATGTTACAGGGCGCAACTTGTTCTGATCATCTACTTGCTCTAAGACAACACCCAATGCCGTATCACAGGCATCGGTACTCATTTGATAGGGTTTACTTCCATTCTTGGCGTCCTGCCAGTTTGGTCCTTTTAGCATTACGTCGTGGATCATTTTGTGCTTAAGCAGTTGGAACGCTTCGACTTCTTCACCTGTCCACTTAAATTTAACGTCCTTTTTTGTTAACTCAGTCAGCGGCTTTGCAATTGCACTAAAATTCTTCACAAATCGGCGATAATAATTCATAGTACCCAGAAACACACGAACATCTCGGACATTTTCAGGGGCTTTCCATTCATTAATTTTCTTTATACGAGTTGGATCAGGCTTTATGCCCTCTTTTCCAACAATAAAGCCATACATATTTAGCTCTTTATAAAGTAGGTGGCATTTTTTTGCAGCGAAGGTAAGACCGGCATTACTAAATGTCTGTGCGAGTTTGACAAATTTGTCAACATGCTCTTCAATCGTCCCCTGGGTCCAAAGTCCTATATCGTCCTGATATGCCGCAGCAATATGTCTCCATTCATCTCCTTCAAGCAGTTTATCCATTAAACGTTGGAATGTTTCGCTAGCGTTTTTAAGACCCATGCACATGACAGTATAACGTAGTACGCCTAGAGGGGTAGCAACAGCTACTTTGTCCTTATCCTCATCACGAATTTGTATCTGCCAATAGCCCTTGTAAGCATCCACACTGGAGTACCAGTCATGGCCTACGGCCTTTTCCAAGATGTCACGTATTATTGGCAGGGGATACCCATCCTTAATTATATGTTTATTAAGTGGCCGCATATCACCAACCACTCGTAGCTTGTCGGTACCACTTTCCTTTTTCTTGACAGGAAAACAGTGATAGGCGTATTGGCCCATACCCTTTTCTAAAAGTCCATATCTTATCATATCCTTCAGTTGACATTCGAACATATAAGCGTGTTCTGGATTGTTTATCCGTATTGGACGTACACGCATTGGTGGGACCTCTTTTCCACCGGTTCTAACTTCATACTGGATCAGGTTGGTCTTTCCTATTTCCGACATATCAAACGCGAATACATTTGGGGTTTTGTTCATCAATTCTTCCTCAATCCATTTTCTTGTTTCCATCGAAATGGTGTCTCCAATGTTCAGTTCATTGCAATTTTCTTTCGTTAAACGCATCACAACTCCAGGTTCCATGTCCAATCCTCTTATTGTACCGTCAGCTTGTTCATTCCCACGTGACCAATAAATTATTTGTCCAAAATGGCTATTCTTAATTAGATCACATGAATCTATGGCTTCAATCTCTTTTATGATGAGTTTGCTTGAATTACTTGCTTGCTTTACAATATCCTTCAACCTTTCATTTTG